AGGGATACGGGGCCAGCACCAGGCGAGACGCCGGCCTGCAGAGGGCACTCCGAGCTGGAAGGAGCTAATTCCCTGGATGACCAGCAGGAGGCACTGCACCGGCGAGTCATCGCCCCCGCCATACCCCCAATATTATAAAAGCTGAGATTCTCATTTAAAACAAACAAAACACCAAACACCACGAGACTTGCAATAAAATCACTGAAGGTTATAGCACTACATAACTTTGGGGTCATCCCTGACACTGAAACTCCTTTTTCTTTCGTCTACCCCATGTCCACACATGTCCCTGTCACTAGTCTCTGCATTACAGCATTGCCTACAGACAGCAGAGACAGTTGTGGAACTGCTATGGAATAAGCTAAGAATACTGAGGGTTCATCACTGAATTTGGTCCACTAGTTGGGATCATTAGTGTCCCTGGCTTGGGCTGGGGACTGACTGGGAGTGCAATCTGAACGCTGATCCATGCACCCCCCCTTATCCACTGAACACAGGCAGAATTACCAGGCCTTCTATTCCCAAAGTACACACCAGCTTGTAATATTCAATTCAGGGCCATCACTTTGCTTAACACCCTCGCACTTAGATATATTCATAGTGAAAACAAGAATACCTTTATTATTATTAAGGAATAGAGATTCGAGTAACGATATTGGAAATAACATAAAACCAAATCATACCAGGATTTCTAGAGATTAATGTTAACTAACATTCCTCTCATGAAGCCAAATGCTTTTACTTCCTGAGTGAAGGATGCCCAGGTGTCTTCTCTGCCACCCAAATACAGTCAAGCAAACCTTTGCAGTGCACCTCAAGACAAGGTTTTCTCCTCCACTGTTTTTTCTTCTTGTTAGTTTCTTAACAATCCTTCCTTTGCGTTCAGTTCAGACTGGTGATAGGAAGCCCATTGTGAATGAGTCAGTACTCAATTTATATGTAAACAACGGGATGGATAAACATCTCGTCTATCAGAGAATCTGTTTTTCACCTTTTCTGGTGACCAGTACCTTGATACAGACTTTAAGAACATATCTGCAGTATACATACATAACTCCTTACACACTATCTGTACATACATTTCACAATGATATTGATGACCAGTGTGACAGTGATTTTCATTTGAGACTTCATGTGACATTCTTTGGTGAACTAGAATGTATGTGGCTGATCCAAGAGACCCCTGTAACCCCTCTGCACCCCCTTGCTAGCTGGCAATATGAGGTTTTGGGGGTCACAAGACCTTCCATTGATCTAGCTAAATAGGGAAGAATTGTGATATTCCACCTAAGTGAGGTGATGGCTCAAGGCCTGGGGGGGGAGGGGCAGGTACACTCAGAGAGACCAGGATGGGTGAGTGGTGCAGTTAGCCCAGGAACTGACACAATATCATGTATCCACCATGCATCCTTTCATCTCATCGCTCCTTAACAAGTGCAGCATCCTTCTCAGATGCCACCCCAGGCAGAGTGATACTGCACCTTCTCTCACATAGAAAGAACTAGAACCATCTCTCACACATTCTCAAAGAAGTCCCCTGGCCTCCCAGTTGTTTCAAGATACAGCTTAATACTGCCCTCCTGCTTGTTCCCTTGGCCCTAGCCAACTTTGACACTGGAAAAAAAAGGAGATTGATGAGGAGGAGGAGTTTGCTCCAGGTTACATTTTAGTTCTTGGCCCCAGTTCTGGGCTATGCTCAAATTGCACTTGGGGCAGCTCCGGAGAGGGGAAGGGCAAAGGTAGCTTTACACCACCTGATCCTGGGGCAGCCAAAGACTGAGCAGGACCCTACCATTAGTTAGTACAACCTCAGGACCTTCTATGCTCATCTGCTTACGGCTCCAAAAGACCATTCCAGCAGTCATAAATATGCCTTCTTTCTCCCAGCTCACATTCCCTCCATGACCCAGAGGCTCTATGCCACTCAGGGATTCCTTCAGGCTGGTATAAAGCAATAGTAATGAGACTAAGCATCTGGTTCTTTCTAATTCTATCCCTACTACTTGTGTTCATCTAGGACCATGTAATCTGGCTATTGCTGGTCACAGAGCCTTCTCTTCTGTAGAGCTTGCCCCCTGGAATGGTCTTCTTGCTTTTCCCAGCTTAATAAACTCTCCACCTCATATCCGATCCCAAAAACAAACACATCTTTCAACCTTCGCCTATACCTTTTAATTGCTCTTTTCGCTCTCTTAGAGTATCTGCCTAACTGTATCAATTAGCTCTGCAGCATGGTTTGAAATAAACTCATTGTGAATGTCTCTGTACACATTACAAGTGAGCAGTATTGTATTGTTTAATCAGCATGCATTATTATTTTAATAAGGGAGGCAAACAACAAAGAAAGAGAACCTGCTACATTCTAAATGGCCTCAAAACCCACCGAAAGGAAAACAAGAGCACTGAAGTGTTTTTGACCCTCTTGTATCAAAAATCGACAGATGGTGAAAGAACCTCTTCACTTTGTCCTTATCTTGCCTACATAGCAAATGAATGGAGGACTGGAGCAGCTTTGTTTGCATTAAAGAGCAGAGATTAGAACAATAAAGGTAATTTTTAGTGGACGCCTGAGATATTCATATATCCAAGTACCTAGGAGCCCTGAACTATCTTTCCTGAGGCTCACAAACATTAACCCAGGTCAGTAAAAATATCCTCTTCCACCCAATACATATTATAACCCATTGTTACACAACAAGTGCTGGGTACTACACTCTCCAAGACAGAACCTTCCAGTACATCTTGTAGCCTTCAGCTACTTAGTCTGTGAATTCTTCAAGGCAAAGCTTTGTGTGTCTTGCAAAGCGCCAAGCACATTGGTAGTCTTTCATTGATAAACCATGCTGATCATAATATTAAATAATAACAAAGCCATACAGCACAGGCATTGCGTCCTCTTGCCATTGTTTCCTTTGGAAACACACCACCATATACAAAAAATCATAGGCCTTGTCACGACAGCCAAGAACATGGGTAACCACAGCCATTGCAGCCCATAGCTATATGACCTCATACCAAGGTCTCTGCTGATGGACTCACAAAGGCGGCAGTTTAAGTCTTAATAGGATTTACCATTTTGCTGCGTCCAAGTGCTTTTTATCCCTAGGACAAAGCAAATGAGAGATGAAACCATCTGATGTTTTAGTGTGAAGAGGAAACATATAAAAACTCTCTCTTTTATGCATTGATTTAGTATTCATTCCAGAAAAGACAGCAGTGACAGTGAGGAACTGACTCATTCACACAAACAACCCAAACACTCACCAGTGGGGTTCTCTCCTCTGAGTACTTGGGCTCCATTCATGTTTTGGGCACAAGTGACAGTTGCTTTGGAAATTAGGCCTAATTGGTGGGCAAAATAATGAGAGGATGGAATATGCCTCACATCACCCCATATAGGGAGCCCTTACAAAGAGGGTTAGGGGAATAAAAAGAAAGGCAGGACTACTTCCACCACTACTACACCCATTGCTAAGGAATTTATCCTCGTGACACCTGACCACCATGGCTGCCAGTGAGGACCTCAGCCTGATTCATGTGAGATCCTGCTTTGTCTTCCCCCTCCATCGCGTGTCCATTTCTGTTCCCCACCCCCCATCTCTCTCTCTCTCTCTCGCTCAGCATTTCACCTGATCCTGAAATTAACCGCACCAGCACAAGATGAAGCAGCCCGTCCAGCTCTGCTCAGCCTGAGAAGGACCAGTGAAGGAGGGGGACCAGACCAACCAGATGATGTCCCTAACCAGGGCTCGGTAGCTGGGTCCATAGTAGCAACTGTCATCGCCAACCTACCAGCCATGACTGACCAGCTGCTCTGTTTTCTGAAATTATCCACAAAAGCCATATTTACCCCATTTTACTAGCCTCTCTCTTCTCTCCCTCTGTGTCTGTCTGTTTTGTCAAAAACAGAAATGTGCCTATCATTCCCAACTCAAAATTAAACAACAGAACTAATCTTTTCTTCCATGTAAAAAAGGACTCTTTGACCGAATAAGGAATTTTGACCAATAGTCACCCTTACTGAAATCGAATGATTAAGTCTGTTTTGCATATCCACTCAATTTCAGTTTCAATGTTTTTTGCCTTGTTATAATTCTTCTCATTCTGTGTGTTTCAATCAATAAATTTCTATCCTTCGGCATGAATCTCCTAGTGTATTTGCTATGCTGCTAAGCAGGCTGATGTCTCTGTGTACCAAACTGTGTTTAATGTTGGATAGTTACAGGGTCATGTTAACACCTTAAACCCTTTGGGCCTATATAGTCCATGAAAATTAATACAACAGTTCCTTTACCCCTTGCCACCGACCATTTCATATGTTCCTCTGTTCAAATTTTATGTTAGAATCATCATAGGATCCGTTAGCAACTAAAGAAGAATGTAAAAATATCTGCTGAAACTCTTCAATGGAAGATTTTTTTTTTCAACCTAGATCTTAACTTCCTAAATTGTAATATAAGTCAATCCACTGGGCCAGATTCTTCCTTAGTGCAAACCCACTGAGATCAACTTGGCCCATAATGTTTAATTTTTTTCTAATTTTTTATTAATAACCACACACTCACTTCTCAAAATGGAGAACATTGCAGTTTTTAGAGATCTCTGCATGTTTGCCTCATGAATACAGATCTGCCAAATACTGTGGCAATAATGCTGGTCGTGCATGAACAGTTACTTGTTTGGTCTTCATGTGCCACAATGAATCTGAACCAGATAGAGTCTCACTGTCTGATTTACGTGTTGAATCTGAAAAAAACAACTCTTAAAACATGCTGATAATTTAAGGCAGGGGTAGGCAACCTATGGCACACATACCGAAGGCGGCATGCGAGCTGATTTTCAGTGGCACTCACACTACCCAGGTCCTGGCCACTGGTCCGGGGGACTCTGCATTTTAATTTAATTTTAAATGAAGCTTCTTAAACATTTTAAAACCCTTATTTACTTTACATACAACAATAGTTTAGTTATATATTATAGACTTATAGAAAGAGACCTTCTAAAAAGGTTAAAATGTATTACTGGCACACGAAACCTTAAATTAGAGTGAATAAATGAAGACTCAGCACACCACTTCTGAAAGGTTGCCGACCCCTGATTTAAGGTAACACAAGCTAAAGTATGTTTCATTGCAGTGCATGAAACTGTAGGCTGACATGATGATATACAGGGAAAACAGAAAATAGTTCATCAGCATTTAAAAAATAATAGGGAGACAAGTGTTTGGATCCAAAATTGAGTCCTTTGTTTGTGAGCTTCACAGCCAGCTGACCATACTCCGGGAGTGGATGATAACATTTTTCAGAGTATATCAGTCCTCCTTCTTGCGCAATATTTTTCATTACGAGGAAGCCATTTGTTTTAGTCAGCTGAACAGGCAGGTATTTCTTCCCAGGTATTATTTCCTGTGGTTGCAGTTAGATAATTTACAATAATCAGCTTTTTTGCTTTTCATTGCACATGTGTACAAAAGTCAGTAACAACAACAATCATCTAGTTTGCTTTAACCTACTATCTTATCTCCAAACAGAGACTGTGCAGAAGACTCCTGTATCACCGCACCGCAATGCACTGTAAGATAACATTGATACACAGGATTGACCACAGAAAGTGTAACAAAGTTACTGTGACAACTCCGAGGATTTGGGCTTGCTGAAACCACACATGTGCAACAATCAGGAGAATATAAGGTGCAGCATTCATATGGGTTTTTTTTCCTTTTATTAAAAGAATGCTGTCAACTTGATTTTTTTAATTGACTTTTTTTTTAAAAGATCAAATAAGGGACCAATAAAATCATATGTAGGGTTTTTTCTGCTCTCTTATTGGGGTTTAAAAAGGGTCTTTTGCCCAAGAGAAATAAAGCAAACATGCTCAGGCCCATTCCTCTTGTTCTGTGCCTCACTGTCCGCACTCCTGCCTGCTAGCTTTTCAGCAGTAGATTTGCTGCTGCTGTTACTGGCAAATGTCCTCAAGCATGAGGAAGCAAAAAACTGAAACTGACTATAGACAAAGGCCCAGATTCTCAAAGGTACCTACTCCCAATGAAATTAATGGGATTTAGGCAGGGCTGCACCGAGGTTTTGGGGGATTGGAGCAAAAACTGAAAGTGAGGCCAGGTTGCAACACCACTAAAATTTGATGCAAATCCCCCCCCCCCTCAATCATTTTGAGTGCCTTCTCAAACAGGGGACCCAGGGCCAACTTTCCCTTTTCCCACCCCATCCTGCATCCCTAGCCTTGGAGGATCTGGGACAAAGAGCTGTCAAATGCGCAAAGTAATCAAACTAGAGAAACTTTTGTTCTTTAAACTTTTTTCAATGACTCGGAACAGTAGTAGGTACAAAAGTTTCAAAGGGAAATGTGATTTTCTAGTGACTGTGTCCCTTTAACAAAGAATGTGTCTGCACTATCGGAAAATCCCAAGGCTAGAAAAAAAAATAGGTTACAGAAGAACCCCATGTGCCCATAGTTGCCATGCTGTGCACTATACTTACACTGTGGCCAACAAAGTGTAGAATATAAAATTCTACATTACTGCAGGCTATTCACGGTGGAAGCCATGGGACATGGGGACCACACTACATCTGGCGCTGTGCAGACTGGGATAGGCACATGTTCCATTGATTTATACTCCATGTCTGAGAGATTTTTATGACATTAGTCACAAACAGCAATATGCAGGTGTGCAACCAGAATGAGGGAGAAGCTTAGACAGCAGGGCAGTGGAGACTGGATGGTTCAGAGGGCTAGGGGATATAGGATCTTACACATCTAAGTCACCATTTCAAATCTAGCTGAATTTGGTGGTAGAAACAAGGTCATTACTATCGAATGGTTGCTTGGCTACGTATGTGAAATGACACAGCAGTCTCACTCCAGTGCATAGTGGACAGGTTTCCTCATTGCAAAACTCTCATCGTGATGCTCCTGTTGGCCATCACAGCAGAGAGTCCAAAGGTTAAATGAACCTAGCGGCTCCTCCATAAATTGTCGTTGCTGAATTGAGGCACACTGGCAGCCCAATGTGTGGGAGAGAGCATTACTGCTTTCAGAGCTGCGCTCACACTGTAGATAAGCTCCCCAGAGCTTTCAATCCAGCAACTTCCACAGACACTACAACCACTTTAAAAAAGAAACAGCATGGGTTGGTGCTGCAGATTGAACATCTGTTGGAAACTGAGCTCCCTACAGTTCAGTCATAATCTAGTCAGTACAGCAGAGTTTTCCATAAAAACAACACAAGGGCCCAGATCCTCTGGGGCGCTGAGGCAGTTTTGCACCGCTGTGACCAGCTAATGAAGAAAAACAATGAGGAGTCCGGTGGCACCTTAAAGACTAAGAGATTTATAAGGTGCCACCAGACTCCTCATTGTTTTTGTGGATACAGACTAACACGGCTGCCCCCTGATACTCAGCTAATGAAGGATTCCCCAGGGCCTCCATAACAGTCTCCATGCCACCCCTTTCCCATCCCCCAGAACATGAGTCATAGTCAGGACTCTTTTGCAACCCAAAGTTGCTGGAAGCTATTGGCCGCCAGCCTGGCTGCTATACATTGTGCCTGGGACCAATCCAGTGCTCACCAGCCCAGGACCAAGGACTTCAAGTGACCTTTACACAAGCACACCCTTCTGAACTGTGCCAAGAACTCCTCAGGTGCATGCAGTCCTAGGTCTGGGACAATAGGTCTTCTGCTTTACAACAGCAGCCACACTGGAGGAGCCTGGCATTGTGATCACCAAAGCACTTCATGAGCTGCTAAAAAGCACAAGTAAATGAAACACTAAAAACCATAATGGGCTTAATTATGCAGCCAAATCATGCAAGTAACTGCCAATGTACTGGGCCCAGCTTAAAAATTGGGTTCGTTCTATATAAGGTTATCAACTGAATAAGGTCTCAACATACACAGCCTATAGCAGACCCCATAAATTAATAGTCCTAAATGCCTGTGTATTCACAGAACATTATTTACATTTTGAAATGTCAGCAGTGTCCTGTCTAGATGACTCTATGCTTATTCAGTAGCATTGACCAAAAGCATTGTATGGCTCTACAGTGGTAAATAAGATAATATTAAAATTATATTGTAGAACTGGGCTGTTCAGTACCTAATCTCACTTGTTTTAACCCAGAGCGTGTCTTTGGGAAATATGCATCTCTCTCTTTTGTCAGATATCTAAGGCAGGAAATATTTTCAATATATGAAGCCGAACGGGGTGTTATTTTGGGCAGGGACAGTCTGGTATAGATTGGCAGCGTTTTTTTCTTCCACGCTGGGAGCAAGCACACGCAGAGCACCAGTGAGATGGGCTGCTCGAAAGAAGAGAGCACAGACATTGTCTCAAGTCCCAGCACTTCTGAAGATTCTCCTCAGCACGTTTTGTGGATGCATCTTCAGAGGTAAAACTGGAGCTGGGTGCAGTGTCTCGCTTTCCCTTTGCAAAACTTGTCAGCAAAAGAGAAGACTTTGGAAGAGTGATCTGCTTTCCGAATTTCAGTGGAAATTAGTGCTCAGTAGGAAAAAAGAAACTCAGGGTATGTCCTCACTGCAATTAAACACCCCTGACTTGCCCATATCAGCTGACTCAGGCTTGCAGGGCTCAGACAGCGGGACTGTAAAATTGCAGTGTAGGGGTCCCAGAGCCCAGTATCAGCGTAGTCCAGTGATGCCCAAACTTTTCTTGTCACATCCCTCCTTACCAGTACTGGAATCTGTCTGCGCCCTACCCCCTTTACTGCACAGGCAAGGATTCCTCAGCAGAGGAGCTTGGGCTGAAGGCAGAGGTGAGGACAGAACTGGGGATGGGCAAGGAGCTGGGGCTAGAGGTGGAGCTGGGCTGGAGGCAGAGAGGGAATGCGGGCAGAGCTGGGCTGAGGTCAAAGCTGGGCTGTGGGCACAGAGGGGCTGGATGGCGCTCCCTCCCCAGCCCCCACGGGGCCCTGCCACATGCTCCCCCGTGAATGTTCTTCTGCACCCCCCTAGGCGGCTGCAGCCCACAGTTTGGGGACCACTGGTGTAGACATACCCTCAGGAAACAAAGGAAAGGCTAGAAACAATGGCGTTCACTATATGGTTTTATGAGGGTGAACATCAGGTACCTAGGAAAGCCAAAGGGCCATATTCTTAATGGATCTTTGTCAGCTTACACCAGTTGATGATCTGGCCCCAAACTGGTTTGCCTATCTTCTTAATACATATTGTTTATTTATTTCCTTTTCATATCTTTTAAATAAATATTATAACCCAGTATTCTCATGGCAAACATTCTGCTGGGCTTTTAAGAAAAGAAAAACAAAGACAGCCCACAGGGTTAGATATTTTAGTTCCTCAAATTATAACAAATGAATGATATTCATGTTTGCTCAGATTTGCAGCAAGATACACAAATCAGTTCAAATAACAATTACTGCATTCGTTTGACAAAGAAAAAGGGTCATTTCCACTATAATTATGTATTGCCTGTGTATTGCCATGACCTGACATTTGAAATTCAACTTCCATGTTTACATGATCGTGCCTCTGGACTATTATCATTAGTCCTACAGATACAGTAACCTTTGGTCCACATCCTCGCCTCCCATGTTAAAAGGCCCAGGAGGAGGCTTCTGGGGAAAAACACTCACAGAGACCCGCCACATTATCCCACTGGGGTTCAAAAGGATGCAAGGCCCACCCCAAATCAGTTGTACCCCTGATAGACCTGGAGCATCGATATGGACACTCTATACCAGCTCTGGCCCTCACTGGGTCCCCTTGCTCCCTGGCAACACATCTTCAGTGAAGCTGCACTAACCAGGACTCCTCACTGACTACAGGAGCACAAAAAGTTCTTAATCAAACTCATCCTGTTCTACTTCCTCATATTTATACGGCTAGGGGACACAAAGCAATACTGCTAACCTCCACCCACCCCCAAGATCACACCGCTATGCTTCACCCCATGAAATCTCAATTGACTTCATACTATCAGTTTAACACAGCATTAGGTATAGAGACTCAGTGACCAGAGGGGAACTAGAATACTCAAGAGTATTATTTCAAGCTGTGTCCCTTATTGGCCAGCTATTGCAAATTATGCCTATTGCTACTTACGCCTCAACCACGTTTCCTTCTATTTAAGGGTTAGGAGCTTGTCATTCCAGATTTGGCATAGAACTGGCAAAAACTAAGTTCTGCCATAGGTACCTATGTTCAGCTACTTCTAATCACATTCTGGTTGTAAAATAAATCAAAGACCATATATCTGTTTCAATCAATGTAAAAAATAAGAGAGAGAGAGAGAGAGAGAAACCCATAGAGTTACTACTGCTAAAATCTAAAACTTCTGGGGAAATCAAAGATAGTAACATTTGACATTAACAGAACGGTTTGACCTTTAAAAAAAAAAGGATGATCTTGGGGTTACTGCATTAGTCTGTCTTCTGATTCAGGAAATGTGTGTTCAGTTCCTGGCTCTGTCACATTCTTTCTATATAACAGGGATGGCCAAACTCACTGATCATCCAAGCGGCATACGACAATCTTCAGAAGTTTGAGAGCTGGGGCTCACCTACTGGGGCTTGGTGCTTCAGCCCCATGGGAGGGGGTCCGCCAGGGCTCAGGGCTTCAGCCCTGCTCCTGCTGAAGCCCCAAGCCCCAACAGGCATGCCCCATGGGGCTGAAGCCCCAAGACCTCCCTCCCCACTGGGCAGAAGCTCCTACCCCATCACCCTGCTGCAAGGTAGAGGTCCCGAGCTCTGCCCCCCGCCCCCACCCAGTCCCAGACTGGTGGGCAGAGAATAGTAGGGGTTTCCGGGACTCTGCAACCCGCACTTTAACTGTAAAAGAGCCGCATGTGGCTCATGAGCCATGGTTTGGCCACCCCTGTTATAGAATGCTGGGCAAGTCACTTACGGTAAAATTTGCCCAAGTGACTTAGGAACCTATGCGCCATTTTGAAAAGTGACTAGGCACCTAATGCCCATCCCTTTGAGGATTTGGGCCCAAGTCACTAAAAAAAATAGGATTTAGGAGCCTTACGTGCTTTTGAAAAATATTGTTAATCTCTTCGTACCATAGCTTCCCATCTGTAAAATGGGAATGCAAATATTTCCTTTCTCCTACTCTACTTAGAATGCAAGCTTTTCAGGGCAGCTACTGTCCCTTACGTTGTGATTGTACAGGGCCTAATGCTAATCTCAGCTGGGGGCTTTTATGCATGAAAGTAAGTAATACAAAAAGAAACAATGGGTGGAATTTTGAGATGCAATAAAGATTTGGGTGCTGAGCTTCTAGGCACCTTTGAAAATTCCAGTCTAAAATAATAGGTTGCAGGCAAACAGACAATCAGTAATGAAAAATCCCATGTTAGACAAGGGAATGTTTAAACTCTTTGGGCATGCCTTCTTTTGTGTTTGGAAAGCACATTGTGGGCATGCCTGGAAACAAAGTCATACTAAATCATAACAACAATTTAATGTTAGCGGGATGCTATAAGAAAATAGGGTGGTACTTTACTGCAGTATGAAGGAGTGCTAATATTAAAGGTTAAGAATTCCCTATAGCTGGGATCTGGTTTTATTCATTCCAAGTTTTTCGTTTCTCTAAGCATGCCTGTTCAGTCAGTCAAATCTTATATTTAGCACTCCGCTTCTCACCAAAGACAACCTTATGTACCTGTGAAATCCAAGGTCTTTTTGGCTCCTGATTCCAAGGAAGAACTCTCCTCAATCCAGTTTGTTTTGGTGTTTGTTTGTTTTTAATCTGGGGGGGGGAAGGAAGACGGTCACGTGCTTTGGGTTCACAGAAATTCCAAGCTGCATTCTCCCGATTTCAGCAACAATTTGTGCTCTAAATCCATTTCCCTTCCCTCTAGGGCAGAATCAATTTAACACATTTTTCTTCCATGATGTCAGCGCACTCACAGTGATGGTGGGTTAAACAGTCAAGGAAAACTAAAAAGCAAGAAGGAGTACAGCAAAAACTATACCTCAGAGCCCAGCTGTTCTCTGATGGTTACTGTTTCTTACAGGGCTGTAGAGCTTGGCCCCAAAAACTTTCCTTGATCACTTGCTTGAAAAAGTGCTCCAGGATATGTATTCAGAATCTGTTTTCCTTTCATCCCTTTTCATGCCATCTTCTCCCATCATCTCTGTTAAGCAGAAATGGTAACTCAGGTTGACATCGCTCCTACAAGAGATGTGGAGCTATTGAATTATCTAAGGACAATCCTAAATACCAGCTTTTAAAGGATAACTGATCCACTAAAAGCAAGAATTGTTTTAGACACGCCATGTCACATTTATAACGCTTCATTTTGCATTGCATTATGTTATGTCTTGCAATGTTATTTTAACAAATGTAAAGTGGCATCACACAACATGACAGGTGCCTCAGAAACTGAAGGAAAGCCACTATCCAGATCCAGTATCCATTATATCTTATCCAACATAAAGGATATAAGAGAAATAAACAGTAAGATCTTTGCAGGATATGCAGACTGAAAGAGGCCAGAGTCTTCCCCGATTACCTAATGAAAATGCATCTCTTACATTTTCTCTCTCTTCTTTGCAGTTAATATTTTATTTGCATTGGTGATGAATCCCTTTGTTTAGCCTTTTTATTAGTACTGACAAGCATAGGGAATGTATGAAACCAGGACAGTTTCCTTAGCAAAATAATTTCCCTGGATTATAGTAAAAAAACTTCTGTCTGTTCAAATAGACTTAAAATCAAGTAGCATCCCAAATGATACTATGGCAGCATTCTGCAAAAGTTGTCTGTCGTGGTAGATCACCTTCCCTGCTCATCCAGATATGAATCCCAGTTAGAACCAGTCTGGAAAAAAGGTATTGTCCTTAAAAACATTCTCCTCTTCCCCCCACCAAAAGAAATTAAACGTTTTGTTGCATTCAACATTTTCCACCGAAGTTTCTAATTTTCAATTAATTTGAAATCAAAAAGTTTGTTTCCGTTTCAAAATCCAAACCATTTTTGGTATAGAGAACTCTTTGTAGGGGGGAATGGTTCTCCATTTCTCTCCCTCCTACACACGCACACTTTCCAGGAGCACCTAAAAAAACAAAATACAAAAATGTTTTAGGTTTTGAATAGCAAAATTAAACAAATGTTTCTATTCAAAGCTAAGTGAAAACTTTGCTTTCCTCAACAAAATTGGAATGTTTTGAAGGAAATGAAAATTGTTGGCAAACATTTTCATTTTATTTCAAACAGACTTTTTTCTGGTCAGAAAAACTTTTGCCCAATTCTAGGGAGCCCCTGCATCCTTAGACGGAAACTGATTGGCTTCCTCTGGGCACAGGCATCCAATTGCACTGAATTCACTGCAGATCAAGCCCAGACCAGGGTCTCCATTCCAAAAGAGAAGCTAGGGTTCCCATGAAGTGCCATTACTAGGATTTTTCATTTTCTTTTACTGCCACCCTATATCTTCATTATACTAATATTTAATGGGTTTGCTTACCCTGTGTGGTTCTCTGCATACTTGCTGGATGAATACAATAATTGGCAAGTGAGGTCTGTCTAGCCATATGTTGCTCAATTTGTACCCACTGGTGCTCTGAACTTGCTTTTGTCCAAGCTGCTAAATATTCTATCTGGGAGGCCCAAATACCCTTTTTTATTTAATCAAAGGAAAATACTTTCTCTCTCTCTCATGGAAATTTCAGTAATTTTTAAATGAAAAATGAGTTTTATTGTTGTGATCTTCAAATGTGTGAGGACAATACACTGGTAATGCCTGGCATGTATGTGGCTTATTTTTTATTTGGCTACAACTCTTCACAGAATTATTGCTATTTGGCACACAGCAAAAGGAAGTCTCCTGTGCACAATAGGATTTAGGCTGGCTTATAAAGAGGAAGTATTTCTTCTTTAAATATTAATTTCTACTGGATACCGTTCTCACTAGAGTAGAATTGTAGCTTGATGTTCTTTTAAGGTCACACAGTTCCCGTCAGACCCTCCCGTCTTTTTTTTTCTTCAGAAGTTTTCAATTTTCACTCAGAAGTGACACTACAGCTTTAGCTTTTAAAATATTGTTATAGTATTGTTACTTCTTTTTGACCTTAGCAGCTGGCCAAATTTGGGATCTTGTGGATTGTTTCCATTAGGAGGAGGAGTTGATGATGGAGTCAGGTATTTCTTTGATGCAATCCTGTTTATCTACGAAGAATGTACAAAGTCCTATATCCCTGAACACAGTTCGAATCAAACAACAGGAGACAGTCTTTTTGCACACAGTCCCAAGCCTCTTTTCAGCTATTGCTTTTCCCAAAAGTTTTCTCTCTCCACTTTTATTAATATCACTCTACAAGTGCGTTTCTGGCTGTGTCATGACTTCCTCCCTGCCCTCTCTGTGTATTTGCCCTGTGTTTTCTCTGGCATTTCTGCTGTTTGTCTCACACACCCAAACACACATCTGCAATCCAATCAATTCCCTACTACTGCATTTGTCATGGGACCTCCGGGGAACCCCTTGGACTGCATAGCCCAGGCTAGCACGTGGCCTAATCCTTGGGCGGTGGATTTCCATTGTTTCAGCTATCACTAAATAAGGGGGCACTTAAATGTTCCCTCATTTAGCCGGAACAGAAGGCAGCTGTCGTGCCCAAGAGCTTCAACGTGATTACCCAACCCCCAGCATAACAGTATTAATACAATTTACAACCTGAATATTGGACTAGTTTAGTGAATCAGAATATATACCAGCTGTAGAAAGTTTAACTTAGTCCTATGACATTTCTAGATTATCAGTTTCCCAAATCTTAAACAGTGGGAAATCTAGTTGATAGATAAGTGGCAAAGTGCTGACAGTCTTGATTTGTAATCATCAGCCAATTAATAATATAATATATGGAGCTATACCTATCTCATAAAGCTGGAAGGGACCCTGAAAGGTCATTGAGTCCAGCCCCCTGCCTTCACTAGCAGGACCAAGTACTGATTTGCCCCAGATCCTTAAGTGGCCCCCTCAGGGATTGAACTCACAACCCTGGGTTTAGCAGGCCAATGGTCAAATCTCTGAGCTATCCCTCCCCCAACACAATAAAGGACACAGCTTTACAACCACTGCATCCAACTCAGGCCACAACTGCATTATGGCACAGGCACTATAGACACTTAGGACCCTAGCTGCCTGAGTCTGCAAAGAGCCTGAAGCGATAGCTCTGAGTTGTGAATGCACCCAGGCCTCTCAATGGGGGTGTTAATCACAGCCAGGAATAGTGGGGGCCCTGACAATACCAGAGGACTGTGTGTAGGGCAGGAAGAGAAGAGTGCAGCAGCCCTCAACCAAGTATCTGGGCTAAGTACTGAGGTGGGGAGAAAGGACCCATGCTGCTCCTGAGGGGAGTAGAAAACCAGCTGCCCTTCCTGAGGACAGAAAGGGGCACTGCCCCTGCCTCTCAGGGATGGAAACCCCCTGCCACACCAAGTTGGTGGCAATGCTGCAGGGGCAGCACCATGGGGCTAACCTCTTTCATGGTGGGCCTAGGGCCCCAGATTGTCTTAATCCAGCACTTAAACAGGGTCCATTTTTGCTGCATCCGGTCCCTACAGTAGAGGTTTTTGCCTAACTGTTAACATGGGTTAGGTGTTCTGTTATGACTTTGATGTGAACTTCTGGTCTGAAATAACTCTTTGAGAGGGAGGCCCAGTGCTTACCACACAGGACGGGGAGCACTGGCTTCTGTTTCTGACTCCGCCACAGACTCTCCGGGTAAAACCCAGGCCCCAGTGAAGTCAATGGAAGTTTTGCCAGCCATTTCACTGGGGCCAGGATTTCACCTTCTGGGTGACACTTGACTTCTCGGTGCAACTCATGCTGCCTCTCTGTGCCTCGTCTCTAAACTGAGTGTCCTGACAGCAAGGGGGGGGGTTGGGAGGCTTCATGAATGAACAACCGTAAAACTCAATGAAAGCTTTGGCTATAAGGCACCATAGCGGAGTCAAATATTATTAATAATTATGACTATTCATGAAAATAGACCAAAGCCGCACACGTTGGCACCCCCAGAGTTTGCAAGTGTTCGGGCTCACACCTGATGCTTTGTCCTTGTTATTATTAATAACCCTCTCAACATTTATGCACATGCACTAACCTCCTTTTTACCAGCCGTCTATCAAAGCCTGCAAGGAACTGGGGCTAGCCAATGGCTGGGAGAGGGATTCCAGGAGCCAGCATGGATTTGCACCAGATACATATTGTTCTAGTGCAGGATTCAGAGTAAGATACATGTCGCTGTTGTGGTTTTCCTGGGCCAGTTCGAAACCAAGAAATCTGTGAAAAATATCCGATCTGACGTAGGGGCAGCTAGTGACCAAATGTAGGGGTAAGTAGGGCTACATATAACATAGTACCCCTCCCCCCCAAAAAAATCTCCCTCTCCTATTCCTCCCCATGCAGAGTGACATCCTCATTTAAATCCATCCTATTTGCATGCACACACACATCCCCTTTCGCCCACTCTCAAGTCCTGTCAATCTAACCCTTCTAGCTCAGATCTCCTCAAGTTCCTTCCTCCTCTCCCTCTTTCCAACCCAACCTCCTCCTCAGAGACCCCTTCCCACCCAAATCTCTCATGGGTCCTTCCAACACCACTGTGTTGCTGAACCCCCTCAGCTCAAAAACTCCCACCCCCAGCCGAATAACACTGCCCCCTTTTCTCTCCAAAGCTCAGAACCTACAAACAGCTCAGTTTCGATGGCACAGAACTTTCGGCTGTCCCTGTTCAAAACCCTTCTGCTCCGACTTGATCCCCCTAAGATCCACCCCCTCTAACACAGACTCAGGGGGCTTCTCTCTTCCAGCTGAACCCCAACCTGCCCACACAGAAGCCCTCCTCCCAGGCTCAGACTGAGCCCCTCTGCACCCCACTAAAAAGCCTTCATCCTCCCACCTGACCTTCCCATTCTCAGACATACCTGCGGCACAGACACCCACCCCACCTCTCACTGGAACAGGAGAAGCAGGTGCAGAGGCAGCAGGGAGTACAAGGGCAGTCAAGGAGCCCTATAGCCTGTGGTTGTTGCAAGGCTGCCCTGGATTAACCCCACACAGGCTGGGAATTCCTGTTGAGTGACTGCTCCCTCTGTTGTCTGCAGTGGAGCAGCAGCGTCCTAGAGGCTCCAGTAGCTGGAGAAGCTTTGCCCACCAGAAGTTCCCGAAGGGTACTGCACATTCAGCAGTGCAGTAGCCAGCCCACTAGAGCACCCAGCTAGCCTAATTCCACTCCACTGCACCTGTTATACACCAGAGTATCTCATTGGAGTTTAAGGGCACTACAGCTGGTGGAATGGAGTGGCGAATCAGGCCCAAACACTACAGTGTGGCACACACCTGCGGCTGGGACTTAGCCTGACCAGCATCTAGTGACCTATTAGTCCTTGTGCGCTACAGTCTGGTGCCTTCACCAGTGAGCATGAACTGACCTTATCAACCTTTTAAATGTGCCCTGACTCACCTCCAGCGCATTTTGCCTATGTTCCATCCTGCTGCAGCATCAGCCCTTCATACTGGTGTTTCCCTTGTCCCCAGATTATGGAGCAGTAAGAAAACAGAGCTCTCTCTGGCCTACTTTCAGTCTTGTTTGCCTTCTACTTCTCCTCGCTGGAGGTCTGCTGCACACAGCTCCAACGTTTTTTTCTCTCTTTCTTCCATGCTCATTGCTCCTACAGGTTCCTGAGGCAGCTGTGTGCTTCATTGCCCCTAGTGAAACTGTCTCTACAAAGTCAAATACCTGTTCTTCTTTCCGATTACAGAGACAAATTTATTCAACATTACTGGTGCTGTTTATCTGTTTATCTCTGCTGCTGCTTCTGCATATTGGTGATTTCCCCTCACCTCTACCACTGTATTTGGGTTTTTGGTCTCTGAGTCTTTAGCACAGAGCTCTCTCCAGGAAGAAAAAGCAAGAGTGATTTTTTTAACCGCTGATATTAACTGTTAAAAATGTATTTATTAATATTTATCACTCAAGGGGAGGCTTTATTTATTGGATCTCATGTGATGTGCTGAGATTTACAGCCATCTAATCTACCAGCACCTAAAAC